TATATTGCTTTCCCCCGCACGAGGCTCGAGACATCTGCTCCCGGCAATGGCCGGTAAGAGCCGGGCTCTCTCAAAACCTTTTCTAGGTGGGAGCCCTATTTTCTGGATATAACATATTAGAACCCTTGCAAAAGAAGAAGAAAAAACAAGAAACAAGAAAATGAAAAAAAAATTGGGGTTCCAACCATCTTCAAGGGATAAAAAAATAGAGCACCTTGAAAAAGTGAGTCAATGATCTTTCTCTTTTTTAGAGTCTCTTTGTCCACGAATCACTTGTCCTTCGATCACTACTTGGCATGATCACGACTCGGGACTAGAGTTCTCGCCGAAGAAGCTAGGGGGTGTCTTGTGCGTAGGTTGACCTCGTAAGCTGCTAAATGATCTAGAAAGTCCTCTACCGACTATCGGGGTTACACGTTGCTATGGAGATATGGAGAGTTGCATTGGTTTGAGTCAGGTTTGCTTGAGGACAAGCAAACGGTTAAGTGTGGGGCGATTTGATGACTCGATATTTGCACATGTTTTCCCCTTTGTTTCTTGATCGTTTAAGCTCGCATTATTGCTTTTTTGGCCTATTTTACGCTAGTTTGTGTTCCTTTTGTCACATTTCAGGTCCTAGCACATAAAGTGAAGTATAGGCGCAAGTTTCAAGTCAATCGGAGATCAATTGGCGACTCGGGGGGAGAAACTCGGGCTTGACTTGAAGAAGAATGGATTTCTAACTCATTTTGTGACCATAGAATCATGTAAGCTTGTCATGAGAAGAAAGAGGACGAGACTACGAGCGTCTGGGATCAAATGGCACCTGATTTGGAGTCCAAACAAGGGAGAAACGAAGAATCAAGGACATGGGACCCTGAAGCCAGAATCACAAGGCCCCCCGGTCGTGAACCAAAAATACCCGGCCGGGATACCCAAAATACCCGACCGGGTATTTCCATTTTTATTTTGGATTACACAACCCTTAGAACCCGACCCAACCCGTTCCAACTATTGGTATGAGTTCGGATCCAAAAAATATTTGTTTCGTATATAGCCATACTTAGGAGAAAATTAAGATATTTCGCCATGTTTTTCTCTCATGGTCTCCCTAATTTAATTAATTCTTCGACTTAAAGTTTAAACATAAATTTAATATAGCTATGATTCACGTAATCCTTTTTCTGGTGTACAATTTTAATAGAATAACATATTATGGATGCGTTCGTTTATAACCTTTTTAGCCTATTTCAGCAAATGTCGTGAAAAAACTAGACATATGTTGAAGTAAATCACATTTTATTAAAATTCAAACAACATTTGTGAATTTTGATACCTTTCACCTTGGTTCATTCATTTGAAATTTTAATTAGTGATAAAATATTTTAATGGCATATAATAATTCTACATCTACACAATAAATAAAAGCCAAATGAGAAAACTTGAAGGCTCATTTCAAATTTCCTGCATCCAGAGTGAAAGTAGGAAGGACATTTTGGTCTTCACAATTAGTTTTTTTTATTCATTAAAAAGACACTTACTAGGATTCGAACCATGACCAATTTAAAGAAAAACAAAGATCATAACCAATCACACTAAGTACATTTATTGTATTTTTTAAATTAAAAATATATAATCGCAGAGAGGAAAAAACCATTCCCCCATTTCAAATTCTCTGCTCCAGGAGCATTTGTAGGAAGGGTAGAATAGAGAGTGCCAATTTTTTTCCTTTTCCTCTGTGGAACGGGCCAACTTACCGTACACATGCGGATTTAAACGGGTCCAGGAGTGTCAATTTTTTTCTTTAAATCCTTTTATTTCTCCGTGGTAAAATATATATGAAAAGACAAAAACAATACTCTTTTTTATTGCTAAAAAGAAAAAAAAAATTAACAATAAACTAATGCATGGATTCTAATGGGCTAACCGCTAATCATAAAATAAAAGAGTTGAATGGGCCTGACCTACATGGGATTTGCCCATCAAGTAAAACAAATCATATAATATATATTATACTATTATTTTATATCTTAATGGCTAAAATATAATATATTTTAAAGTTATTAAATGGTTAAACCTCGACCAACCCAATTAGTCCAACTTTTTTTATCATTTCAAGTATATATTATGTAATTATTTGATATCATAATGATTAAATTATAGTGTATATTATAGGGAATCGTTTGGTATTTGTTAGTAAAAAACTAAACAGAAAGATCTATTTGGTTATATTTAACATTAAAACGATCCTAAACATTTTCAGTTTCCTTTCGAAATTCTATAGTTTTATTCCCGAATCAGTGATGTGCAAATGGCGAATTGCAGTCATCTCTTTTCTTTCATTATTTTTTATTTTCAAATAGAAAGTTTAAAAGTAAAGAATAATTAGAATTTGACATGGGTCGGTCAAACGCATTCACTTGTTCAAATCGGTTGAAGCAAAACCCAATTTTTTTGAAGTTTCACCGATTAGAGGGTGGTGGAAGCGACAACCATTCTCAAGGTCAAGTAAAAAAGAACTTAACTAAGATTTAGACATAAGTATGTGTGTGTGACAATGTGAGAGGCTCTTCCTAGTGTAGAAACACCTTGATAAGGAACCTTAAAGTATTTGTCACTTCCATGAGGTCTTGAGTAACCAACTTTGATTGTTTTCTTCTTTTGACCTTAATTTTATTCAGTTTCAATCAATTGCATAGGGGCTCTCATTTATATGTACCTCAATCCATTACAAAAGATAAATAGAGTATCAATTTAATCTGTAGGTTGAACTACTCTTGCCACCAAGGTTGTCAACCGGGTGGGTCGACCCACTTTGATCCGGACGAATTCCAAAAATACACATGTTTTTAAAAAAAATTCCCAAAATACACGCGTTATAAATTTTTTTTCCAAAATACATATGTTTGGGCATCACCGCTGTTGTCAACCAGACCAAAGCAGTGAATGCATCACCGCAGTTGACGGCCGCGGTGAATGCCCGACTTAACTCTGAAACTTCAAACAAACGTAACTTTACGCTCGGTCATCCGATTGTAGCGAATTCTTTTTTGATTCCATATAACTTTTCAAGATCTTTCAATCTTCAACAAGACTTCATCTCAAAAAAATGTCGTTTGTTACCCCGAACGAGCAATTTTTCAATTTTGACAAACTTTGGAAGGACATAACTTTTAGCTCCTCAATCCGAACGTCGTAAAGTTTTTTTTTTTGATTGCGCATAACTTTTTAAGAACTACAACTTTGACTAGGAAATAATTTTTTAAAAAAGAAGTATTTTTGGGTATACAGGATTTTGGGAATAACTTTGCCTTTACTTTTCACAAATCCACATACTTTCCAAAATTATGGTTATAATCAAAGTTGTAGTACTTCAAAAGTTATGCAAAATCAAAAAAAGTTTCATGACATTCGGATTGTGGAGCACAAAGTTATGATCTTCCAAATTTTGTCAAAATCGAAAAATTGCTCGTTCGGGGTAGCAAATGATTTTTTTTTTTTGGATGAAGTCTTGTCTCAGATTGAAAGATCTTGAAAAGTTATGTGGAATAAAAAAAAAATTCGCTACATTCGGATAACCGAGCGCAAAGTTACTTTTGTTTGAAGTTTCAGTGTTACGTCAGGCATTCACCGCGGCGGTCAACCGCGGTGATGCATTCACCGCTTTGGTCTGCCGCGGTGATGCCCAAACATGTGTATTTTGGGAATTTTTTTTATAACGTGTGTATTTTGGGAATTTTTTTTAAAAACATGTGTATTTTCGGATTTTTTCCCTTTGATCCTGACTAGGTGGAAAAAATGGGCCGCACGTACCTGTTGGGTCGACCGCTACAAGGTATCGGGTTGGAGGTCAAATTGTACCATTTTTTTCATTGTTTTGCAAAATGCGCCTATTTTCCGATTTTTCTTTTCGCCTAACTCAATCTCTGGAATTCTTAGTTGAACATTTGAATATTGATGTTATATAAGTGTGTGTGAATTTTCACTATATGTTGGATCTAAGTACGACATGTTACTTTGGTGTAATGTTATATGTTATTAATCATATGTTAGATGAGATTTAATATAATTTATCAAGATAAATACAATATAATGACTCTTTCTATATTTCCGGGCTAAACGGGTGACTCGTTAATCCTTGACCCACTAACTCAACCAAATCCGGACTAGAATGGGTGACTCGTTAACCCTTGACCCACTAAAAAAATTAAAGAATGGTGGTGGTGTCCTCTTATAGTAACCCCACACCTTCTAAATTTTTATACAATTAGATGTTTGATCAATGGTATTTTAATTCGTGGGGGGTGGGAATAGGGATTTATGTTTTTGTGTCTCGATTCACTTGAACAAGCACCATGTCCTATATTTGTAATGACTTTTGATCACTAGTTAGTGGAGAATATTAACCTCTCACCCAACATATCTTTTGCCAAGTAATCACTTTTCATGGATTAAAACTCCTAGTTATATACTCTTGCCATGAAGCATGCCGATATCTGTGTAAACGAACTTGTTTAGTACACGAAAATCGAAGGTCGACATTTCATAATAACATCGTGGAAATGAATCTGTTATTAATTTTCAATATACTTTTTATTATTATAATATGTTTAATATACTTTCATTTGCTCACTTTCAATATCAAATTTCTTTAATATAGTCAGAGAGTCGAATATAATCACGAAAAGAACCGTTTCGACATTCAAATCTTTATCCGATTAAAAAAAAATTAATTGCACAATCAGAATAACTAAATCAGACCGGAAGGCTGGAAGAATGTTTTGAGACAAGGAGAAAAGGTAACACGAGGAAGAAAGCCCAGACTGGGATATAGAGAGTGGCGGGCTCAATATGAGATGGCCCATAAATGGACAAGGCCCAGGCCTGCTATATAATTAGTTAATTACTGAATAATTGAAGGAAGAAAAAATCGGGTATTATTAATTGATAAAATATTCATCCGTTGGAAAAGAAATAAAGAACAACTAATAAAATAATTTTGCCTGCTCGTAACGAGAACAGAGGAATCTTGCCTGCGCAGAGAGAGGGAGGAGGACGTCACAACGGCTCTCCTTTCTTTCCCGGTTCGGCCTTCTCCAAACGGTTCTGCCAGAAGAATCTCAATTGTTCCTTCTCGGATTCTGGGTTTGTCTTCCAATAGCCATCCGGTTCGCGCGGCAGTATCTTCCATTTCCTTTTTTGCTGCTCGTCTGCCATGTAGATAGATGAACTATATTCTGTTTTGTGGGGGGTTCTTCTGATTCATGTTCATCTTTGAGAGGGGTTTTTTGCTGCTTTCTTCTCTCTTGATTTTTCGATTGGTGGGTTTGGTTCTGTTTCTCCTTTTGGTTTCTGGGATTTGCCGCTTGTTATTGGAAATTCGCGGGAAAATCAAGTCATTAGTTGCTTCTAGTTTAAGCCAAAGTCTGTTCCTTTTTCTGGATTGAATTAAGGTTGCTCAAGTTTGTCTGGTGAGTTGAAATTGGGTTTAGGCATTGGTGCTGCATTTGGTTGCTTTGACATCTTCCTCTGCAGATAATTTTGCGAAGTAGCTGACGGTTTATGTGCTCTCTAATTTTCAGATATGGAGAGGAATTATGGTAATGATGAACCATCAATGGCTCGCATCCAGCAATTGGAGTATGGTAATTGTTCTTACTTGGATTGCAAGCTTTCTACTGCCATGTCCTGCAATGACTAGGGCAATCATTTGGAATTGGAATAGTCCTATGCATACTAGGGCAATCTGAAAATTGTATCCATTTTCCTTATATGGGGATTGACTTAGTAGTTGGAGTTGGTAATTGGTGGCTTTTGGCCTCTTTGAGCTAACCTGTACTACGTATTCTTTTGTGAAGTTTGTTTGCAAACAATAATGCTAGTGTGTGAAGGGTTATTTGTTATTGCTCGAGGAATTTCTTTAGTCATGCCTTCGTATTACGTGTTGGTTCTCATTTCTTGGTGCTGTAGGTTGCTTGATAATTTGCTAGTTAGTGAAATCATAACACTGTATTTGAATCCTTTTGTTTCCTAGAGCGTGATGAATTGCACAGAGAGCGTGATGAGTTACGTAGAGATATAGAACAACTATGCATACAGCAAGCTGGACCTGGCTACCCGGCAGTCGCAACTCGGTTGCATTTCCAGAGGTATCATTTGTATTTTTTGATTCTTCTCATTCTTCAGTAGATGGGCAAACTTTCTCCCCCATATTCTGTTTTCACTATTTTTTGGTCCTGGGATTATGGGCTAGGTCTTTGCTGGGAGACGTTGGGGGTCCCTTTTATGTGTAGGTTGCTACGATTTAAGAAAGCATAAGGATTGTTAATGCCCTATTAGGACAGCTAGCTTGGAGCAGGAAATAGAGAATTTGAAGATGAAGTTAGCTGCCAGTACTAGAGAGAGTCGAAATCTTCAAGACGAGCTTTCAGAAGCATTTCGAATTAAACAGGTCTTCAGAATGGAGATACTGCTACAAGTGCTATTAAACAGGTTATAGCAACCTACTTGTATTTTGTAATTGGTTTCTACTTCATCTGTAAGATTTAAAAAAAGAAGTTAAATTCTAGATTTTATGTCAATCATTGGGCCTAAGCATTTGCAGTTATCATAATGAGGAAATTTTTCTCCTTAGTGTAGACAACTTACCTGAAGGCTTCTTCTTTACCACTCTATAAAGATTGTTCTGAGGCTGGGTATCATTTTCAGGTTGCTTCAGGACGTTTTGGTGTCACTCCAACTTTCTTGGTTAACGCTGATCAACTAGAAATAAAAATAGCACAAGGTGCCAAACCTGGTGAAGGGGGCCAACTGCCTGGGCAGAAAGTTAGTGCATATATTGCCAGGTTGAGGAATTCTAAGCCTGGGGTTCCACTTATCTCTCCACCACCCCATCATGATATCTATTCCATTGAAGATCTTGCTCAGTTGATCTTTGATCTCCATCAGGTGTGTTTTTCGGCTTGTAATTTTTTCCGTTATTGCTATAGAGTGTTTATGAATTTTAATGATGAAGTTAAGCGGATGGTGTTGCACAAACAGGTCAACCCTAGGGCTAAGGTCTCTGTGAAGCTGGTATTGGCACAGTTGCTTCTGGTGTTGCAAAGGCTAATGCTGATATTATTCAGGTATTGTCTTATGAATAAAATGATCCTTTTGGCCATCTTAGTTCCAAATCGTATAATTTTTTATTGAATGGAATGGTTCACTATTGGATTATGAAAGGAAAAAAGATTGCTTTTGATATGTGCATTCAAGCTGTTTACGTCCCTTCTCATTTTCCTCTTTCATTCCATAGATATCAGGGCATGATGGTGGAACAGGAGCCAGCCCCATTAGTTCCATTAAGCATGCTGGTGGTCCTTGGGAACTTGGGCTAACAGAAACTCATCAGGTTATTTTTATTTGCTGTGCTCATCTTGTTAGCAACCAATCCTTTCCCTTAGTAACAGTTTATCATTTTCCAGACCCTCATCAATAACGGACTGAGAGAAAGGGTAATTCTTCGAGTCGATGGTGGCTTCAAGAGTGGCTTTGATGTCATGATGGCTGCAGCAATGGGAGCCGACGAGTATGGATTCGGTTCTGTTGCTATGATCGCTACTGGTTGTGTTATGGCCCGTATTTGCCACACGAATAATTGCCCAGTTGGTGTTGCCAGTCAGGTAATAATGGAAACTTTTGTCTGTGGCTTTACTGCGGATGCTTTGTTTCTATGTTAATCAATTCTTTTGATTCTTACTTAACTGCAGAGGGAAGAACTACGTGCTCGGTTTCCTGGCGTGCCAGCTGATCTGGTTAATTACTTTCTGTATGTTGCTGAGGAGGTGAGTTCTTTGTGAATAATATAAACTGTTTCTTTATTGTTGTTACTAAGCTGCCGATGTTCACTTTGGTCAATTATTCATGTCTTTGCTAGGTAAGAGGCGTGCTGGCAGAATTGGGTTACCAGAAGTTAGACGATATAATTGGGAAAACAGACATACTAAAACCACGAGACATCTCCCTTGTGAAAACCCAGCATCTTGATCTAAGTTATGTGCTCTCGGTGAGTATTAAAGCAACTTCTGTTTCTCCTTGGCTATCATGGTATTTCTAGCCACGGGCTTCCTGTTTGTTTCAAGTAAATTTCATATGGTTCGCTCGTCTACATTTCCAGAGTGCCGGATTACCAAAATTGAGCAGTACAGACTTGTTTTGGACGACAAGATAGACACTCGCAGATCCAGAGGTAAGAATCTTCATCCTTGATATTGTGTATCATTAGCTAGCAACTGGTCTTCACGGCACATGGGGAGTTATTGACCAGAAAATGAGATATTTTGGCCTCAATCTGAACAGTTGCTTTTGACTAGTTTTAACACAAGGGCAATGTCTATTTTTTACCCAAACCTTTTTCAGATTCTTTTATTTTAACCAAATCTATAGAAATTCTATTTATTATCCAAACGTATTATAATTTATCAAAGTCTGGGCATTCATTCTGTTACCGTTACTTATTTTGTCCACGTGAGAGGTGGGATTTTGTTTTGTTTTTTGATAATCTTTTTATTAAAAATAGTAAATGATGGTATTCTGACCGCCACGTAGGAAGTCAACTCATTATGGTCATACTTAGTCAGCATTACTAACAGAAAAGTTGACGGAGAGTTAACGTTTGGATAATTTTTAGGAATTCAATAGGTTTGGTTAAAATAAAAGAATCTGAAAAAGGTTTGGGTAAAAAATAGACATTGCCCTTAACACAAACTACTGGTTGTTTGCTTCTTTTCCTTATAAGCCTTCGTTTACATGTTCAGATTGCAGATGCAATTGAGAAGGAAAAGGTTGTTAACAAGACTTTTCATATATTCAATGTGGACCGTGCTGTCTGTGGGCGGATATCTGGTGCAATGGCCAAGAAATACGGCGATACTGGTTTCGCTGGACAACTGAACATAACGTAAGATGTGTGGCTTACTAGTTCCCAATATTACAGTATTGGGACACCTAAGCTAAGAAAACATCTTCTGTGTCTTGAGTACTCATACTAGAATGTTCTCTTTGCACCACCAGGTTTAATGGGAGTGCAGGTCAGTCATTTGGATGTTTTTTGACTCCCGGGATGAATGTCCGGCTTGTAGGAGAAGCAAATGATTATGTTGGAATAAAGGTAAGGAAACACCGTCATCAACATTGCTTAAAATCAAGATTCAAGTCCGAAACTAACTATGTGTTTTGATGCTAAAAGGGTATGGCTGGAGGAGAGCTGGTGGTCACTCCAGTAGACAACGCAGGGTTTTGCCCTGAGGAAGCTGCCATTGTTGGGAACACCTGTCTCCACTGGTGGGCAAGTCTTCGTTCGAGGGAAAGCTGGGGAACGTTTTGGGGTTAGGAACTCACTCGGTCAGGCTGCCGTCGAAGGCACTGGAGACCATTGCTGCGAATACATGACTGGTGGCTGTGTTGTTGTACTTGGAAAGTAAGTGAATGCTGCAGCAGTCTGCCTCACTTCTCGTTTTAGTAACATAAAACTGAAACTGATCCGTAGAGTTAAAACCTACGACTCGCTTTGGTCGACAGGGTTGGGCGAATTGTGGCTGCTGGCATGACTGGAGGTTTGGCGTACATGCTCGACGATGACGATACCTTGATACCCAAGGTTTGTAGTTTGTTACTGCTGTGATTGAAGTCTCTATCAAATTTTTTTTTTTTTTTTTTTTACTGAAGCTCGGAATCCAAACAGATAAACAAGGAAATAGTGAAGGTACAAAGAGTGACTGCTCCAGTTGGTCAAATGCAGCTCAAGAGCCTCATTGAAGCTCATGTTGTAAGTTCACTACCCAAACCAGTAGTAACACTTAGGTTGCTAAAATGTAGCTATGAACTTCGTTTTTCTGCTGACACAAGCTCACTATCTTTGATTGAAATCCAGGAAAAGACCGGTAGCGCGAAAGGCGCTGCTATCCTCGAGGAATGGGAGAAATACCTCCCTCTCTTCTGGCAGCTGGTTCCTCCCAGCGAAGAGGACACGCCGGAGGCTTGCGCGTTGTCCGAGGCCACCGCCGCCGACCAAGTCACCACCTTTCAGTCCACTTAAGATGTAAAGACAAATTGTTGAAATGGCTATTGGCCGGCGGCAGCAGCAGCAGCATGAACATGGCAATGCCATAACAAAAAGAAGACATTATTTCCCGTCGACCTCGTCGTAGGACTGTTGGCCTGTGGTATCAAGATAAGCAAATAAGCGGCGGAGGCCATTGTTAAGGTTTGACATTGCTTCATCATCAGAAGCAGAGGCGATGGCAATACCAATGGCGGCAATGTGCTGCACAGAATGTATAGTTTGGGTAAAAAATTTCTCCTGCCGCAAGATAATGTAACCATATAGCCTGTCCAGTTGCTTTCTTTTGTATATCTTTTGGGCGGTTATGCTGTTACGTACTTGTGCTTAGATTGGAAATGCAATAGCTTGTTTGCTGTTTCATTAAATCAACAACGATCAGTCGTTTCTTCTCCTGCTAGCCAAGATCACTCGTATTAAAGCAAAGATACAAAAGAGTAGGGGTGGCAGTCGGTCGGTTTCGGTTTAATCGAAAACCCGGTTATCGGTTAAACCGAGCCACCCCCTATAGCTGCCGACCACCGACCGTGAGGTGTGTCACGGTTACCCGGCCAACCGACCGGTCGGTTTTGGTTTAAGGCTCGGTTAGCCGGCCAACCAGAAAATGTAGCTTTTCTAAAAAAAATATATATATATATTCTGCACCACTCACTCCTAACCCCTCTCACTTCTCGATTCTTCTTCTTCCTTTCTTCCAGAGAAACCCGTCGGCCGCCGCTAACCTATCTCTCTCCCTACTCTCTCTCGATTCTCTTCTTCCTTTCCAGAGAAACCCGCCGCCGCCGAGTATGCCTCCATGCCGCCGCCGAGTACGCCTCCACGCCGGCCCAGCTCCAGGCAATCGTCCACTACGCCACCTCCCGGACCACGCCGCAGCAAAAAATCGACGGGGAAGAAACGACGACGGCGGAACAGGCGGGGTCGCTGGTTGAGAGGGGTCAACCAAAAATAAAAAACCCAGAAAAGGGGTCAAAATCCCAGCAAAAACCCAGAAAATCAAACATGCAAAACCATAATCCGCCACTTACCATCGATTTGGAGGCTGGCCGGCACTCCAACGACGTATTATAGGCTGGGATCTTGTCTGATTCCGAAGTGGAACGATAGATGGGATCATGGGAAGTGATTTTCCCCTCTTTGTTTCTCAGAAAGAAGAAGAAAGTAAATCGAGGGAGGAGGGTTTCTGATTTTAGAAGGCATGGCGGAGAGGGAAGGAATGGTTTTAGGGTCTCTGGTTAGCCGGTGGTGAGAAGGGGGAAGGGCTGGTCGGTGGTGAGAAGGGGGGAGATGAAGTGGAAGCGGATGTTCTCGGCGAGAAGGGGGAAGGGCTGGTAGAGGCGGCGAGTCTTAGGGGAGGAGCCTGTCGACTGATTTGGGGGAGGAGGCTGAGTCTTAGGGTTAGGGTTAGTGGGGGCGTGGGCGGCGTCGTTTAAGGGGGAAGGCAGGGGTCGGTTAGCCGGTTAACCGCCGGTTTTCGACCCCGGTTAGTCAGCTAACCGGCCCCCTGATAATCCCCACCGCCAACCGACCGCCCTCTTAGGAATCGATTTTTCGGCTAGTCGAAAACCGGTCGGTTCGATTGAAACCGACCGGTTAGCCGCTAACCGGAAAATCGTCCGCCAGCCCTACAAAAGAGTTATGTGCTCACGATAAACTTTAAAAAAAAACTTCCTTTATATTCAACTAAAGTATACAGGAAGGATTTTTCTAACCACTAAATGAGCCATTCTATTAAGGTTTTGTTAATTTTTCCTAATATTTGCCTGGCGATATTGATATTTATTATTTATGAAGGTATAGCGGCTCTTCCACACCACCTGATATTCATAATAGTTTGGCAAAAGCCAAACACACATTTTATGTTATAATGGTCCACGTGGAAACCTAGGAGAGACCCTTTTTACCTTGTTGCTTTGAACCTGAATGGAGGTTTTTGGGTAGCCATGATGTTTGGAGATATTATATAGGGTTAATACCACTGGAAATAGCATCCTTTAGATAAAGTGCCATTTATATTACATGCTTTCAATAAACACAAAAATATTCCAATCTATTAGGGGTTTGTGCCATTTGTGTTACCCGAATTTATGTTGACCGTTAAAACTGACGGTTGACCTGACGGTGGCCCACTTTGTTAAAACTGACGGCGACACGTGGATGCCACATTGGAAAAAAATACTTAAATTTTTTAAAAATATTATTTATTAATTATTTATTATTCTATTAACCCCATGCCCTATTTTTAACCCCAACTCACCCTATCTTTTTACAACATCGGGCCTCTATCCCCCAAGCTCGACGGACGGCGGCGGTTCTTTCCTGCACCTGCTTTCCAAACGACGACGGCGGCGGTTATTGTGTCGGCGAAGCTTTGGACGGCGGCGACACTGGAGCTTAGGAAGGCGGCCGTTGCTGTAAGTCCCCGAAGGTCGAGCTTTGGAAGGCGGCGGTGACGGTTTGCTGTTGAGGCGCCACAGAAGGGAAGACGAAGCAGGTCAGTTGAAGGGTGGAAGAGTGGTCATAACTAAGGGTAAGTAAGTCGAAATTAGTTTGATTACAACCCATTCCATAAGATTCAACTTTATTGAACGTATTTTTTTCAATTGTGGTGCGAATGAAACCCTAATTTTTTATAACAGTTGGTTTGGTGACCATCACAACCATGTCTGGGCAAAGATCTAACCACAGCAAAGCAGAATCAAGCTCAGCCAACTCATATGTAGTGAAGTGCAGATGCAATGTACCGGCTACTGTAAATGTATCTGGGACAGCAGGTAATCCAGGGAGGGAGTTTTACTGTTGTCCGTATTGGAAGAACGATGATAAGAGTTGTAGGTTTTTTCTATGGGTTGATCGTTTATCGTCGATGGACGACGATTCGAAGATGAAGCTCGTTGCTATGTTGGAAGAGAGATTGAAGGCGGTAGAAGCTAAGGCAGAACGAAGGAAGAAGGAAAAACAAGTGCTATATTCTGAGTTGGTCAAGACTAGGGATGAAAATGCCAGGCTGATTACAATTGTGTATGTTTTAGCAGCTATACTGATCAGTGTTATTGGTTGCTGCTGTTGTTTGAAGTGAGTAAGCTATTCTGAAATTGATGTTGTTTGTTGACAATTGAATGAAGTTCATTTTTAGTCGACGTTTGTTGTCAATGTTTGAAGTTTTCTGTTGTAGTTTGAAGTTCATTTTTAGCATGATGTTTGTGCAATATAAAAGAATGTAGTCCTGAAAAGATCATTGCAACCATAAATACTTTGCATATATCCGATCTAGAAGAGTCAGTAGTAACTAGCAAGAAAATTCATGAGAGCTAATTGAGTTTGCTCTTCAAACTGGAAGAGTCTACTCCTAACAAAAGCATAGTGCTCTTCAAAGTGGAAGAGTCTACTCCTAACAAGGCAACATACATAGTGCCATAACAAAAGTCTACTCCTAACTAGGCAACACACATTCTGCCCTATACTTATAGAAAACACATTATAGGCAACACACACTCCTAACTAGGCATTAATCTTGGGTTGCTGGTGGCTGGGAACCGCCTGCTTGGTCAATCACAGCAGCTCCTCCATTGCCTCTGCCTCTAGTGGCTCTGCCCCTGCCTCTACCTCCTCTTGCTGATCTGCCCCCACCACCTCTTGCAGATCTGCCCCCACCTCCTGCATTCCTGCCTCCTGCATTCCTGCCCCTTGTAGCTCTTCCTGTTGCATGCATCTAATAACAATCGATAATCAATAGTCCGTCCTTGACATTTATGCGAAACAAACACTCAAACAAACATTACCATTGCATTGACTTCATCATCCACAGCTGGATTCTTCCTCGGTCTGCCACGTGGGCGGCGTTCTTGTGGTTGCTGCAGCTGGACAGTGTAAATAAAGAATCTTGGATGACCAAAAAATGCAATTAAAGAACAAAGAGTTTACCTGAGGTGCAACTGGAAGGGGACATCCTCTTTTGTTGTGTCCTTCACCGCTACAGTTTTTACAATGCATGACGATATTATTCCTCCGAATGGCCGTTCCTCCTCCTTCATGGGGTCGAGTGTCAAGCTCACCCGCCTCCTTGCGCCGATTCTTCTTAGGGCGGCCCGGCATAATCCGAACCTTTGGAGGATAGACAGGATACCCCTCTGCTGTAGGCCATGTCTGTCGGCCATCCAAAGTAGGCAGCCCTCTTTTGTAGGCTTTCTTGTACTCAGAAACAAAATAATACTTATGCACAAAGAGGCTGGGGTCTAGCCTCTTCCAAGCCAAAGCCGAGACAACATGTTCACATGGGACCCCAGTTAAACCCCAATACCCACAAGTGCAAGAAAATTCCTTCAAAGACACAACATAACCCTCGTCCCCACAAGAAACTTCAAACTTATCTTCAAGTGAGGGCCTTGTCTGCCACATTTTAGCTAACTCCTTCGCCTTCTCAATCTTCTTTCTAATCCTAGGACAGATTGTATCCTTAAGCTTCGCTAATTTTTTGTTCTTGTCCACTATCCTAGCCATAATTTTCTTGCGAATCCCTTCTAACATATCAATTATTCTCAGTTCTCGCTCCTCTACGATATATGAATTGAAAGTCTCACATATGTTACTTTAGACTGCATCACACTTACAGTCATGAGACACGAATGCCCTACAGAATTTCTTGGGCTGCTGGTCATTGAAGTCCTTCAATAAAGTGGGGTCTTCTCCGCTGTTTTGAATAGCTTCCATTCTGCTTGTCACGGCTCGAAATGCTGCCAAGTTGGTTGCATAAACAGCACCCCAGTACAGATTTCGGAAGGTTTGTCCCCTGTGTTTTGGTTTCCAGTTTGCGAAAACGTGTCTCGCACACTTCCTGTGGTGTGCATATGGGCCGACACCCCTCAAGAAACCCTTTCCTGAGCATTGAGAAGCCCACATATAGCCTTTTGAATAGGACCCTATTTGCAATGGAACAAGGGTCCACTTCCAAAATAAAACGGCCTCTTGGATCAACACGCTTCAGCTCAGCAACATAAGGCCGCAACTTCTTATACTCCTCAATTAAAGAACCTCCCAATAGCCTCTTTGCATACAACCGCGCCCTATAACACTGCCGTCTGGACAATTCTACATTGTGAGTCTCCCGCATCTCCCTCTGCATGTGTTTCACTTCCCAATTCGGGTTGATTTGAAACCTCCCAATGTAGCGCTTGGCAGCCCAAACAGCATTGGCCCCTTTCATTCTAAGGGCACGTGGGCAAGAGTGCCTCGGCCCTACATCCTTCACCATGAAGCACTGCCGCCCTCCATGCCAACTTCCATACACATACCATCCACAATTCTGCCTACACACTGCCCTCTTCTTCTTATCCGTACTGATGTTCCAC